CGTTTCCTTTTTTAACTTTAGCATATCTTCACGTACATGAGATAATCGTACACTTATTCATGTATTTCATACCCTGTCGTTTCTACTCTCAGCTGTCCAGTGTACAATATATCCTTTCTGGTTAGGCAAATAACTTGGTACCACAACATTATTTTGAAAGCGAAGTAGTCACTTCGATCTCTTTTATCTTACAACTTGATTTGTAATTTCTTTTAGTTCATTTGTGTATTTTCTTCTGTGTTATTTTTCTCTTGAAACAAACAAAGCAAAGGAAGTTGTTTTTATGCATGCCTACTAAATGTATCTCGCTGAACAACCCTGAAAATAATACCATGATGAAGCAAGAACGTAAGAGTTACGTCCCCTGAAAAGACTCTGTTCGTCAGAGAATCGTCGTGCGTTCTGCGTTAATGCAGTGCAAGTGAAAAATGGCCATCAGTTCAGTTGGCAAAACGGTAACTTGTATGACATACCATTGAACCCTCATTCATAGACCACGGGTTTCAATAAATACATTCATAACAAAATCGCTTGTCAAATGTAAAGCCGTGATATTGACTGTACATGAAAGTTCTGATTCCTCAACTCACTAGGAACTTTTCGATTTAAATGGACTACCAAAATATATATACTTAGAGACTGAGCGTTAGACTAATACGAGGGGTGGTGTGGTGGCCTAGTGGTTAAAGCGTTCGCTCGTCACGCCGAAGACCCGGGTTCGATTCCCCAGATGGGTACAATGTGTGAAGCCCATTTATGGTGTCCCCGCCGTGATATTGGTGGAATAGTGTTACAAGCGGCGTAAAACCATACTCACTCACTCACTCTAGTCTCTAATACGAACCCCTGCCTTTTGCGTTTCTAAACATACTTGTACGTGAAATACGGTGTCAGATTTACGACCGTCAATACGTTAATTTATCACAGTGTTATTCTTACCTAGGGAATTCCGAAAAATAAAAAGTGTAACAGGAAAGGGCGTTGCAACAATATCTTGCATACGCAATTTTACGATGGAAATGTTAGAAAATGTGAGATGGTGATATCAAAGGAAAATGTGAGTAGTTGCTCCAAGCGCTCATAAAATGTATCCATCATCACAGATGCGTGGAAGGATGTCCGTTGTGTAGGCGGACTCTGGAAACAGACGCTATTTATCACGCAGCGATATGACGCTTGTTTACTAAGCTGCCTTTTCGTTTCCGTTTGCATCTGCAAACAATTGGTTCGAAGGTGGTCAGTGACTCCAGTGCGCATTTATATGACAGACAGACAGGCAGACAGGTTTATTAAGGTCTCACTCGTAGTACATATAAAAACATATATAACTTCATATACATATACAATATAAATAAAATATGCTGCGACCAGTCGCTCAGCGACTTATCAGCGACATCTTAAGCATTATTAAAATAAAATATTCATAAAATATATATTTACAAAATACAGCCATATAAAATTTCACGTCTTTTAACTAAAGTATCATTGCAGGTTTTGGCAACACTATGGCTAAAACTGTTTACTGCCGACCTTGCTAATCCGGACACCATGCTTATTTTGCTGTTTTGGTAACAACTGTGAAAACAAGAGAACATTACTTTGTATTTCCCTGCTCGTTAGTCCAGACATGTGTTAATCTGGACGATTTCACTGGGAAGTGTGCGGTTCGGTATAACGAGGTTTCAACATATAATTTATGAAAGATGAAATCTTTATGACTTGTGATCGCTACCGAGAGCAACCCTGCTACTTACATGCAAACAATATCGAAACAGATGAGCAGTCCTTTAATCGGAACTATCCAATGTTCATGAACAAACCTTCATACATACCGAGAGACTCAGGAAAGCCAGTGTGCATAGGGGCTTCTTGGTTTGTTGTTGATTGCTGTTTTCGTTTGTGTTTATGTTGTTGTTGTTTTTATTTTTTCTGGTTTCTTATATTATTTATATTATTTTAATATATTAAAAAACATTGAGATGACTCCCGACTCAAAATGCCTCATCATGATGTATTGTCCGTGAAGCACTTCGAGTCGGGAGTCGAAAACGTCTAATCTTGATCGAATTTTAATCTAGTACATCCAAAAAAGGAATAGAGACAGAAACATTGGTATACCAAAATATCCACTAATTATTACAACCGATCATACGTTTGTTGGATTTCCGGTGAGTTAATGGCATTTTCACTACCTCGATATTCAGGTCACTGCGTTGTGAAACCAGGTTAAACTCATCCTTATGATAGATTACAAATAAATAATTCATGTGACCTTAGAATTACACTTTAAGATTGTTACAAAATGTGGTCTTCCTCGAAAAATGGTTTTCAATCCCACCAATCTGACAAGACGACAACACGGAACACCTATAGCTAAAGGAAAGTACAGATCCAGATGATTAAGTTATATGTCTTCCTGACTGGATGTGTAGGGAAAGCTCATGCTGTCGATACAATAAAAAGTCATCCTTAGCAACGACAACACAGATATTACTCGATAATTCTGTTACACGAACGTATTTTGGTATTTAATTCAAACTACACCGGTTCTGTCACTGTTCCTCGATGAAACGCAGAAATGGGTTTACTTCTACAGAGATTTCTGTGAGCAGATAGTCAATGGATTTGGCTCTCGTATGAGAATACTATGTTGAGTTTAAAGTGTAAGTGAGTGAGTGAGTGAGTTGAATTTTACGCCGCACTCAGCAATATTCCAGCTATATGGCGGCGGTCTGTAAATAATCGAGTCTGGACCAGACAACCCAGTGATCAACAGCATGAGCATCGATCTGCCCAATTGGGAACCGATGACATGTGTCAAAGAAGTCAGCGAAACTGACAACCCGATCCCGTTAGTCGCCTCTTACGACAAGCATAGTCGCCTTTTGTGGCAAGCATGGGCTGCTGAAGACCTATTCTACCCCGGATCTTCACGGGTCTAAAGTGTAAGATTATATTGACGCGCAAATGAAGTAATTTTCGTCGTGTTCACGTATTTGGCGCGTCAGCGTTTGAATTCCAGGTTAGAATAGATCCCCAGCACCTATGCTGGTGGTAAAGGCCGACATGATGCATAGACCGGGTGATCAAGCTAAGTCACTTGATTGAACGCGTTTCATCGTACCTCAACGGTGTGAATCAGTGCTCATAACATCAGTCACTGGCTTGTCTGTTACAGACCTGGTTGTTTACAGACAACCATCACACGGGAGTGAGTGAGTATGGTTTTACGCCGCTTTTAGCAACATTCCAGCAATATCAAATCGGGGAACCCCAGCATGCGCTTCACACATTGTACCCATTTGGGGAATCGAACCCGGGTCTTCAGCGTGACGAGCTTTAACCATTAACCCCACCTCCCACCCCGACACGCGCGTGTATCTCAATTAATAGCAAAGCAACGTGCAGTGTCATTGTGTTTATAACCTTTGTGCGGCTTGAAAGTGTAAATATACGCAGTTTCAATTTCTAGTTTTACTTTCACATGTGCATATGCATTTAAGACGTCATTCGATTCTAAGCGAGATAGAGGAAGAACATTGTTTAAGGAAAATCAATAACCGGTTTTATACGTCAGTTCCAAACGCGACAAAAGTTAGGCTTCCTTATAACTTTGTTTTGACAAAAACAATGTTTGTTCAGTTTTCTGTTGACGTCAGCGCAATTAAACTATATACTGCTCTGAAAATACTGAAATGACCTGTGGAATACTTTTCCCCATTATGCCGTACTTTCCTAGTATAGTTTAATGGGTTCAAACGTCAAATGCTTAAACAAATAGAGTTCTCCTCTCTCTTTTTTTTTCACATATTTTATTCAGTTCAAGAGTATACATATAATTGCTTAGTTCTCCTCTCTTGCTTGAAAGGGAGCAGTGGGGTAGCCTTGTGGTTAAAGCGTTCGCTCGCCACACCGAAGACCCGGGTTCGATTCCCCACATGGGTAAAATGTGTGAAGCCCATTTCTGGTGTCCCCCTGCCATGATATTGCTGGAATATTGCTAAAAGCGGCGTACAATCATACTCACTCACTCACTCTTGTTTGCAAGAGGATGCGACCAGCTCGGTGACTTGGTTTGTTACGAGTCAGCGTGTGTTAGTCGTACAATTGACCAGTGGTTTGTCGGGTCCAGGATCCATTATTTGCAGGTGGTCGTGTTATATATAGTGAGACAATTGTCAGCTGTGTCCTAAAACCAAAGACATATATCTCAACTACATCCTCAGCATCCACGAATATAAAAGTCCTGTGCACGTTCAATAAACCGTATTCACAAATTATCCAACTCTTGAATGAGTGAGTTTGGTGTAACGCTATAACAATATTCATGTTATATCACGGAGTGTACGTACGCCAGCCTAAGTGTGTGATGAGAGCATGAAGTGATGCTGGATTGAGACATTTGCCTCTTTGCAGGAACTTACCAGCACTGGTAAGGTGCTGACGAACTTAGAACACATTCAGAGTGAACCGTGATAAAAACCCACAATATATACGTTTCTGGCGTGACCTAGGGACACGAGGCCGCGCAACGAATTGCGGCGCACCAGACGGCTGGGTCACCAATAGAATGGCGAATCTTCTGTGATATATTTCCCGATACTTGATCACGCCTGAAACAATTTGGCATTGTCCTTCTTTATTAACATGGCATATATATGCATCGGGGGTAATCGATTTCTGCTGATGTGATTGCTCATTTATTTTGTTTAATGTGAAAAATTGTGTTGTTGTGGTGACTGAATTCAACTGACACGAGTTGTTGGTGTCAGCCTTTCTCTTTGTCCTACAAATAAGGTCATGTTCTGAGAAAAACGAATTTACTTCCTTAACAACTTTCTCCCGCTAGCAACAAATGTAAACATACCCACGTGTAGCTTATCTATTTTATCCAATCAAAAGTAAGGATGGTTTCACTCCGTAATGGTGTAAATATTTTTATCCAATCAGACGGCTTTATTTTGTGAAACGCGAACTCACGGAAGAGTAAAAACATGGACCAGACAGGAAGATCGGTTGCGAGGGAACGGGCTCTATCTCCGCCCTTCTCACAAACGACTGGCTACCTTGGGCTAAATCATCCCAGCGGAGCCATACGGGAAGAATTTTACTCAGATGTATACACGCTTGAGCAACAGAAATCCCAATCAGCGCCGAAATTTCACAGTGACAGTTCCTTCGGAAAGTGGCCTCCCGACAGAGTCTGGGCACAAGACAATGTTCGAGACAAACATCACTTGTATGATGAAATTAAGGAAGATGCTCCTAACAGTGACAGTCTCCACGATTACGAGCTAGCGAAGGACATGGGCGCCAGCCAGTCAAAATCTTATTCTCTTGTAAAGGAAAATGGCCCCGTTCGGAACATTCGCACGATATCAGGTAACAGAAACAAGGACAACCGCCCTCCGGCGAAAGTCCCCATCGTGATAAAGAAAAATAGCGCAACCGTGTTGAGTAATAATAATGACATCGAAAAAAACCGCCTGGGGATGAAGAAGGATATTCGATGGCTTATCAGAAGGATGCGCTACCAACCAGGGTACGGAATATACTTAATCTTCTTGTTCCATACACATGATGTAGTGTCTGGTCATTACAGTGGCTTCGGACATGCATGATGCAGAGATTACAAATGATGTCATTGATATCGTAATAATTTATAAAAGAATAATTTCTTTTGTAAATATATTTGCTAGTGAAGTGATAGTTTGCTTTCAAAAGATTTCTTTTAGCATTTCAATTATGTTACATTTCAACACATGTAAAACTTAATACCAAACTGAAACTTATGTGACAGCTAGTACGTAAATACTTTTGAACATTTGGAAGTTAGACCTAAAAACTACAAATGTTACAACATCGAGTAATAAATGTTACTTTTATAGATGCACTCTGTGCCATTACATATCTGTGTACCGTTACACACACAAACACACATACACTCGCTCTCTCTCTCACACACACACCATTTTATGTAACTACCCACTGTGCACCACTTTAGTTGAAACAGTGTATTACTTTAGTTAAAAAGTTTAGATAAGGAAATGGAGAGTTACTTTATGTTCACAGCCATATACTGAATAAAATCACAGACGGCTTGTTCAGGAGGATATGCAAGTCAGGAAGTTGAAATTTTGTTTCGAATTCAGCATTGTTGTTATAAATGTGACTTTGCTAACTTTGTCTGAGTCATGTGACTCATTATTTATGTCTCTGGCCCTTTATCATGTACACCATGTTCATGAATCTTGTCAATAGTCCCAGCACATCTGGGACTGCACTACATTGTCTGCAGTAGGAAAGTGACTGTGTTTTTAATACTTGTAGGTAGATCTGAAGTATAAGTTTCATAAATGCATAAATGAGCCTGATACCTTTGATGAAAACATCCAAGTAGATCTGAGACAGTTATGCTTGATGAATACTACAAGTAGATCTGAGACAGTAATGTTTGATGAATACTATAAGTAGATCTCAGACAGTTATGTTTGATGAATACTACAAGTAGATCTGAGACAGTTATGTTTGATGAATACTACAAGTAGATCTGAGACAGTTATGCTTGATGAATACTACAAGTAGATCTGAGACAGTTATGTTTGATGAATACTATAAGTAGATCTGAGACAGTTATGTTTAATGAATACTATAAGTAGATCTGAGACAGTTATGTTTGATGAATACTATAAGTAGATCTGAGACAGTTATGTTTAATGAATACTACAGGTAGATCTGAGACAGGTTTGTTTGATGAATGCTACAACTTGATCTTGCGTACAAGGAGAAAAAATACTGACATGTTTGATGAATACTACAAGTAGAACAAAGACAGACATTTTGATGAATACTACAAGTAGAACAAAGACTGACATGTTAGATGAATACTACAAGTAAATCTGAGACAGTTATGTTTCATGAAAAAAAAAAAATAGAACAAATACTCACATGTTTGATGAATACTACAAGTAGATCTGAGACTGACATTTTTTATGCCCCCGCCATATATGGCTGGGGGCATATAGGGTTACCCTACGTGTCCGTCCGTACGAAACAGGGAATGTACTCTATCCACTCCTCCACAAAAAACGCTCTGTGGAATTCAATGAACTTATCACCAATTCTCAGAGAGAATGCCCAATTACCCCTTTCTTCTGCCGTTTTGATTTGTACTTTTTTAGCAGACGAATAAACACGAATAAAAGTCTAATACGCATTCAGTACTACCAGGTAAACATGGTGTAATTCGTAGAAATCAACTGGAAATCACTATTTTGTTTGTAACAATCAAAACATGTGTCACAATTTATTCATTCTTGGTGTCGCCAAAGCTGTAGTGTTTAAACAAATGGATACAATTAGTATTTTTACCATCATAGGCGTTTAAAATCACTTCCCATAGGTTGTATGCGTACATGAATGAAAACATATGAACAACTGAAGGGATTATTATAATTATAATAAACAAAACAAATGTGACACTAACATTAAATATGTCATGCCACAATAGCAGTAATCTACGTTACAGAGTGTAAAATGCAAAGTGTAAGATGCATATATATATATATATATTGACAAACATTTGTTTTGATTGAGGTGAGCGCCACTGGATATATTATATGTAGAAAAGTGTCATCTTGGAACACATTGTACCATATAAAACCGCATGTAAAATTGACAAACATTTGGTCTATAAAAATAGTTGTGTTAAACATGAAAGCTACGCTACCATTACTGTAATGGAAACATGAATAACAGCTACCTATAAAAGTGATTAGAATGAATGCTTTGTGTTTTCATAGTGTAATAAAACTGAAAAGGGACTGCGATATGCTTCCAGTCAAGATCATGGTAGTTTGCAAACGGTGAAAGTAATCTACGTTATGAAATCTACGTAACCACCTGATATGGAATCTTACAAAATATTACCGGAAATAGAAGATTTCACTTCGTAGCATAGTCAGAGAACCCAGGCAAATAAATTGATAACCTACAACAGTTGCCACCGGTTGCTGTCACATGATCGCAGCACTTCAGTGACATTTCACGAAATTCAAATTTGGAAGGGAAACTTCATCTATGTTCGGGAAATTCCCTGTGAAACAGGTAAGATTACTTGTCAATTTACTTCATTATAGGGATATAGTTTCACAGTATTTCAAAACAATTGTTCTACTGTTGAGAATTTCTTCTGTAGAAGCATTTGGAAATGATCATTATATTTGGGTGTCGTCAGCCATCACTTCAAAAGATTGACAAAAGTTGTATTTCGTAAAGCTTGTATCAATTCTGTTAATATCACATAGATTTTTTAGACGTATTGATATTGACCCTAAACGTATAATATTTCGATCTCTTGAAAAAACTGCAACATATCTTTCACCTCAGTTTTGTACTCGCTCCTCAAAGTATGGTAACGTAGATTGCAATGAATGAAGTATTACCTTCATAGCTATCACATGTTCCGGTAACTGTTATGAATATTTTACTTATTGCTAAGCAAGTAGCACTAATGACTTTCATATATGGTAAGTTGTTGTAAAATCAGTTTATATGAGTACAATTATTACGTCCAATGAATTACTTTGTAAGGTAACATAGATTACAGTTTGGTAACGTAGATTACAAAAATATCATTGTTGAATTCTGACAGAATGGGCAAGACTCATGCCGAGATCCAGCGGACTACGGACAAGGGAATAGGGAGAAAGAAGGAATGAATGTTATTCATGTGAACAAGTGTTTTTTGTGCAAATCTGTAATCTATGTTACAAAGGCATTCACAACCTGATCAATAATATTACCTTTTATAAATGCTGTTGTATTGTCTGTGAAGTTCATGATATTACCTCTCAGATGGCGATTCTTTTTGTCGACTTCTTTTGCGTAAAGAAATGCATTTAACAGTATAACATAAAGTTATATTTTCAGGAGCTTTGACTTGATCAAGTTTATTGTTATAATGCTAACAAACTCAACTGAGTGGAAAGGATGTTACATGTAATGTTGTTTCTGTAACGAAACACAACTTTGGGATTAATGACTGAACTTTGTGAATGATATCTCCCTTCAATGTGTTATGCAGCCATCATAAAGAACAGCCACCTAGATTACAACGATCGTGTAGGGTGGTATTGTATGAGATGAGATGGAATTTTTACAAGCTCCCCTTGAGTGCTAGAATTTCTGATTTTCGTTCGTGACACTTTCTTCAAAAAAACAGCAACAACAAGTAACAGAAATATTGTCTTATTTTTTTACGATTTGTGTCTTTCAAATTGGGCATTCTCTGTGAGAATTGGTGTTATACATGGGCTTTCTTGGGACTCTAATGGTGTGCATCTCATATTTTGTTTTTGTATTTTATTGTTTTTTTGTAAGTTTAGAGACATTTTAACTTAGGTACATTTTGCTGAATTTCTCTATGATGATAGTGTAATAGGGAATGAAGTCTATCCAATTCTCCACAAAAACTGCTCAACAGAATTGAATGAACTTCTACATGTCTTTCGTAGGGACCCTAAGGTTGTGCATTTCATAATTTTTTATGCAATTTCTTAATTTTGTCACTTTTACAGATGTTTGAATTTAGTTGAATTTGGTTCTATTCATCCTGTTCGTCCCATACAACAGGGGGTGTACATTATCCACTTCTCCTCAAAAACCACTGCACAAAACTCATTTAGCTTAATGTATGTCTTTTATAGAGACTCGAAAGGTGTGCATCTCATATTTTGTTTTTGTATTTTATAGTTTTTTGTATGTTTAGAGACATTTGAACTTAGATAAATTTTGTTGAATTTCTCTCTGATGATAGTGAAATCGGGGATTATGTCTATCCACTTCTCCACAAAAACTGCTCAACAGAATTGATTAAGCTTATACATGTGTTTCATTGGGACTCAAAAGGCGTGCATCTCATAGTTCCATAGATGTTTATTGAACTTGTTTGTGAATTTTGTTCAATTATTGTTCTTTATATGATAATAGGTTGTGTTCTCTCTTCCCACAGCAGGAGGGCCATCCGTGTTCCTGGACACAAATTTTTCTTGTTTATAAATACTACAAGTAGATCAGATGTTATTGTAGTTATGTACACGTTCAGTTTCAAATATTTTGTTTCTGGGTCTACATGAAAGACTTAACAGGGCTCCCACAGGTCAGGGAAAAGTCAGGGAAATTTGGCATTTCTCTGAAAGTCAGGGAAAAGTCAGGGAATTTTGATATGTTTTCAAAAGTCAGGGAATAATCAGGGAATTTGGGTTTAAGTCAGGGAAATTTAGGGTTTTGGTCAGGGAAAAATAAAACTCAGAAGGTCGCTAATCGGGTATGGTAGTAGTCAAAGTCAAAGAAGCAGCACATGTTACAGACATTTCATGAAATAAATTACAGTTCTGATAAGAGATTGCTTTTAAGCATAACAGCATGTTTTACATAAAGCCCAAGATTACATTTTCATTTCTGGAGGATAGAATGGAAACAAAGTCACTTGAAGGATATTTTTACAGATAATTATTTGGCATGTATTGTTTTCTTAAATCA